CCCCAAAACCCCAAAACCCCAAAACCCCAAAACCCCTCTCAGTTAGATTATAATTAAATAAATTTGTTTTAATGGCTGATCAAAACCCATTGGATATATTCCAGTTTGATGAGAATGACCATGGCTCTTCGGAAGCGAATCCACTAGCAGAGGTAGATCCTCAACCTGTTCAGGAGGGAAGTGCAAGCAATGAAAAGGCCATTGATCCCCTTTCTTTGTTCGAGGCAGATCAGGATCAACTCCAAGAAGAGTCCAAAGCTAATGAGAAGATAACTAAGCAGCATTCGCATCAAGATGATCCCCTTTACGATGTAATTTTAGTCATTTTTGTATTCATTGATATTTTCAGCAAATTTTTACACATTTTTAGCTTTTTGGCACAGATGATCTCATCCCTGATGGTAAAGAAGAAGAGCTTGCCGATTCTTCTCCTTCAGAGAAAACACCAGCTCAGAATGTGAGTGGCGGGTTTAATCTTGAAGATTTGGTTGAAGAAAATCGAAATGACAGTAAGTTTTGAGGAGTTTAGTCTATAGAGCCAGAAAAAGTGCTGGAGCCTCCTCAAGGTACAAAAATTTTAAATGGGAATTTTAGATAAGCCTGAGCATAAGAAATCTATTGAGGAGGAGTTAATCTCTCAAGCATTATCTCAACCTCCTGCCAAACCGGAGCATCACGAAAGTCCGATAGATCCAGAATTTCAAGAGGAAGAAATAGCTCCAGGAATTGGAGATGAGGCCCCTCCTGATACAAATTTGTAAGATTTATGCTGATATCTAGTAATCTTCCAAAATCTGTTGAGACAAAGACTTTTCCAGCAAAGACCTCTCTAGCAGAGACTGTGAAGCTGGATGCCTCTCGTGCACAACTTGCTGAGTCAAGAGTGACTGGAGCCGGAGGTAAAGCAATAGAATAATCTTTAGAAGCAGGAATTATTGCTGATAGCATCCAAGAAGCGACATCAGATGATGAAGACATTCAAGAATGGGAGGGTTATAGAGGCTTGGCTCAATCCACTGTCTCAAATTCAGAGTTCCTTGGCCGATCTACTGGTATGCCGATACTTAACTTTTAGGCAGTGTGGTTGCCTCAAACCCTCATATTGAGATGTTCATTGAAGATCCCACCACATATTTGTGAAAATTAGTGAAGAAAGGATGAAATCCTGATACTTTTGAGATTTTGGAGCAAATTCTATCTCAATTAGAAGCAGGCTTTGAATTAAATGTTCCTGAAAAGTATATTTCTTAGTAATTTTAGTCCTCTTTCAACACTAAAGCATAAAGAGATTGTCCAGATCTTGGTCTATATGGTCTATGTGTACCTTAATATTGTCGATAAATTGCAGAAGAGAGATCCGAAGGACAAACAACAAAGCGCAAGGTAAATATCTCCAGAATGTTATGCTGATCCTCTGGCCCTTCTCTTGTTTGTTTTTGGCGGTTTTCATCAGATAAAGAAATCTTTGAGATTTTATCGTAAAGAAAATCCACGAAAATGATATTTAACTTACTACTGTTTAGAGATTCGACAATTTTGCATAAATTTCATGAGTTCCAGCCTATTCTGGAGTCGATTGGTAAAGTATTAGTGTTAATCATCAGGAGAGGAGCACATATTTGCGGTGGATTATTTCGACGTCCTCATTTCTGAGTCAAAAGTAAGCCCAGCCTCCTCACCCTGTAATAGGAAAAACTACATGTCATGAGAAGATATCTACTAGATGAACATGCAAAAACAGCTTCAGGAGGTACCTCTGTCCCTTCGAGAACCCAATCTGAAGAGTTTGAGAAGATTTTGTCCAAGATTAAGTACTTCTGGCCTTTTGGGCCTACGATTGAAGCCCAGCTAAAGGTTGTCCATTTCGAACTGAATAGGCTTTACTTAAAGAGCAAAGATTTCAGATCCGGTTATAACATTTTGAAGAAATTGATCGAGATCCTTCCAAACGACATCGATGTGGTCTCAAGATTTGCTAAATATTGTCATTTCATTGGGAGGAACAAGGAAAGCAGGAAGTACTACCAGAAACTAGCAGAGCTTAAATCCTAACTGGGCAAAATGAGGGACTGTAATTTGGCGAAGATATTTACCTTAATTCTATATTTGGGATGGCCAAAGGGGTTTTGGGGTTTTGGGGTTTTGGGGTTTTGGGGTTTTGGGGTTTTGGGGTTTTGGGG